CACAGTGCCGTAAGATGAGTAGTGACGTCAGGGGAAAGGACTGGGATTGGATATCATTTATATTTTAATCTATATGTAGTTCTTAATTTAATGATTGGTTTGATAACTTTCCCTACACGTGCGCTCGTCACCTGCCAGAGTACGCGGCACCTGACTGGAACCGGAAATATGGCCGCAACAAACGTGGATATATGAGGAAATTGAGTAAATTCCTGCAGGAAGTATCTGACCGGCCATGTTGTTGTGGGCCGCTGTCAGCAACAACTCTGCGGAAGATGCCCCCAGGGTAGGCTTGGAGAGAGGAACTCTAGAAGCATAATACAGGTAAACCACAGAGTACAGGTAAAAATTTTACATGATGGTGGCTTTGACTTTATACAGCTTGGCAACAACCTGAAATAAATGTTGTAAGCTATGAACTCGTTAAATATTTTATATATATATTATATAATATTATTTATATATTAAATATAAATATTAGTCATAACTCGCAATATTCCACATAAATACAACTTTTCCATTTCTTGAATGTGTCATCTTAACTCAAAAATCAACAGCAAGGGCCCCTGATGTAGGCCTCCTGGTTAACAATAGAATCAGTATATTGAATCTATAAATTCACTGAAATTACATTTTCTGAAATACCACACAGGGTGACGGACTTGCCAAATTATAATTCAGGGAAGGTTTAATTGGGCTGTTCAGTATTTTGACCTGTTTGATCACAATCTTTATTGTAATTTGGTCATATCAACACACAAGTTTTACTCTTAGGGGTTTTAGTCAAGTTCACTTGGGTCGGTGAAGTTCCACAGGGCAAGGAGCTCAGTGAAGAATTATTTATATCTAGTAATATGAGGAAATTCGACTTGAGAATGGTCCAGGACGGACCGAAACGTCGTCGTCCCTTCAACTTCTAGTGTGTGGTCTGGTCAACATACTTCAGCCACGTTATTGTGTCTCATCGCCTGCATATCTAGTAATATTAAAGTGATTCAGAAACTAGACGCAGAGACGTCGTAAATCGTATTTCAACAAGATACAAAAATAGCTTAGTGTCGCCCAACTTTAGTGTTTGAAGAAAATGGCAAGTGTGTGAGGTTTAAGTGTCGACAATTGACCCCATGGTGGTGGTGGTGCCAGGGAAGGTGCCCAATATACTTCTTGGTGCCCGAACTAGCGCCCGCTGGCCAGGTGCCTCCCTCGGGCAGGAGTTGCCAAGACATGTCTACATTCCTTTACGTTGAAACGGCAAAAAATCGCCGTTTGCCATATATTGGCTCTTTGGCAAACACCCCCAAAATTTGTTTATATATAAATGTTCGAAATATGGTTAATGGAATAATAGGATTTATATCCAGAAGCATTAGCAACGGCATTTATTCTTTATTATTTTATTCTTGTTAACACAAGTGATCTCCTCTCGACTTTTATCATTGAAGTGTGGATTACTTTTGGACATAATTTATAAGTGTAGGGTTGCCACGGTGGTTTGGAGGGATGGGGGAGGAGGTTGACATGTTATAACTATCAATTCTAACATGGTCCCACTGTCATTCTGGCCCGGCCCAAAATCCATTCTATAGCTCAAGGGTTCCAAACATTTTTTAGACAGGCGGCCCCGTTTTCTAATACTCAATGACCTCTTAACCGTCTGCCAATTTCAGAATTGGGAAAAAATCAGAGTTCCCTTTTAAAATCTTTTGAACATATATGTATATATATACTCAGACTTTAGGTTCTGTAACCCCTAGAACAATTTGGCAACCCCCGTAACAAGTGCCATAGTTGAGTAAAATACTATCTTACAATGCCAATTCCTAAGGAATGTCCGATAGACATGATATTAAGACCACCTTATAAAACCTTATATTGCGCACAAAGAACCATACAAATATTTCTGATACTATTTCAACACACAATCTGGGTTAGCCAACCAGGTTAACAAACTAACTACTCCAGACACTCAAATGGCAAGGCCGACGGGTACTTATCAACTGGGTGCCAAGTTATGTGGCGAAATAGGAAATGACATTGCAGACGAAGCTGCAAAACTTGCAACTAAGAGAAGACAGCAGTTGCAACATCAGGATCTGCGGGTTGGTGCAAGAATTCAACCAACTACGAACCACTTAGTTTGATGAAAGGGAGCAGTAGAGCAACAGAAGTACACTTACATCGCATCAGGCTTGGATACCCATGTGCATGGGAAATAGGCTTACAGGTTCCGGAAGATGAGAGGAAATGTCAACACTGTGGAGAAATGCCCGTCAGACCACTGGAACATTATCTAACACAGTGCACAGTTAAAAACCCATTAAGATTTCAACTTAGATTCAACAGAGCAGAAGAAATTGTTATACACATATGGCAAAAATCTTACTGAAGCGACCATACGAGTCATAATACTCACACTCCGCCCAAGTAAAACAGAAACAAGCAACACTTAGTGGGCCAGCCAGAGGCTTAGGGCCCGCGTAGGAATATCCCTGCAAAAAAAGGCAAAAAGAGGGGGGGGGGGTGCTCGGTAAATCATAACACTGGTAATTCTTTACCCAGGGCAAAAATAGAAAAAAAACGTAGGTACAACTTAAGGTAACGACGCTCCACCTTAAATAGTTGTTCACATTAAGAACATTACTCTAACGTTTAACAACCGAGGAAACCACTTGACCTGTAAAACCAGGGCACATAGATAAATTAATAAAGGGACGAGCGGCAGCAACATCCACCCACATCGGCTACCTCCAGGGCACTGAGGTTTAAACCTGGCGGGAAACTTAACTTTCCTGAACGTGTTGCCACATTCACATTCACCAGAGCATGATCTTGTAATGTTCTACGCGCTAGTAACGAACCTATCACATGCATGAATGAGAATAATTCTAGACATGTATTCTCCTGGAGTTAGTATTTGAGCAGAGCGACTCTAGGCACATAGGCCATAATAGGGGGGGAGAGCTGGCAGCGCTGCACTGCTCCTCCCGCGCTGAAGTAACCGGTTTATACTGGTTGCTTACAGACCAAAACCGTTAGCTAGGCTGACTATGACTATCAACGTTTTTAAAAATATGTACTTTCTTGAATCCCGTTTACATATAACACTTTAAAACTCCTGTTTCAGTTTACATAGAACGCTTTAGATAACTCAATATGCATGGGGGGACACCCATGCATATTGAGTTATCAATCACGTTTAATGTGCCCAACCACTTGGACGGTCGGGGATTGAACGTCGACCTGCATGAAGCGAGACCGTCGCTCTACCGTCCACGGTTTTGGAAAGCTCCACTACACCATTGAGGATTTTGTTGATGTTGGGCAGGAGGGAGGCAGGACCTGCTGGCCTGCTAGATTTATTTTTTGCTCCGATAATTTATTACCTATTACGGCCGAACTAGTCATGCACCTTCGGGTCATTGGGAAACACTTCTTATCGATTCTTAGAAGCTTGTCATGGGCCACTATAAACCAGGTCGAAGATGGTCTCCATTATGGGTTATTCATGCTCGTACTCGCTTAGTTGTGTTTGCGGGGGTTGAGCTCTGGCTCTTTGGTCCCGCCTCTCAACTGTCAATCAACTGGTGTACAGATTCCTGAGCCTATTGGGCTCTATCATATCTACATTTGAAACTGTGTATGGAGTCAACCTCCACCACATCACTGCTTAATGCATTCCACCTGTTAACTACTCTGACACTGAAAAAGTTCTTTCTAACGTCTCTGTGGCTCATTTGGGTACTCAGTTTCCACCCGAGTTAGTTTGTCTTTGTCCACCCTGTGAATTCCCCTGAGAATTTTGTAGGTGGTTATCATGTCTCCCCTTACTCTTCTGTTTTCCAGGGACGTGAGGTTCAGCTCCTTTAGTCTTTCCGCGTAGCTCATTCCTCTAAATTCCGGAACGAGTCTGGTGGCATACCGCTGAATCTTCTCTAACTTTGTCTTGTGTTTAACTAAGTATGAACTTAGTTAAACAGAAGTTGTGTGTTTGTGTAAACGCTTAGTTATGGACGTGCCACCTCTTGAGTGGCCTAAACTTTATCATAGTCTCCCGTCACACACACGTACGTAAATCAACTACGGGCTCACCATAGCCTGTGCTACTTGGAACTTTTAGTTCCAGGTAGCGAATGTTAAACAAAAAGAGGTACACCATGCTTTGTGGATGCCTTGTATGGGTGTAAACATTGTATAGAGTCGCTGTGGTTTTAAGTTATATCCTTAGGCCATTGTTAAGGTTCCCCTGCCGGAACCGGTCGGCCGAACAGACAGCACACTGGACTTGTGATCCTGTGGTCCCGGGTTCGATCCCGAGCGCAGGCGAGAAACAATGGGCAGAGTTTTTTCACCCTATGCCCCTGTTACCTAGCAGTAAAATAGGTACCTGGGTGTTAGTCAGCTGTCACGGGCTGCTTCCTGGGGGTGGAGGCCTGGGGAGGACCGGGCCGCAGGGACACTGAAAAGCCCCGAAATCATCTCAAGATAACCTCAAGATAACCGTGCTATTGAGTAGTCTTAACAGAGAAAAAGTTCCCAGAAGCAGCAGCATCCTGCTGCCACACTGAAATTTTCAGCTTTTCTCTGACTACCAGTGAAGCTCAGAGGAATTAGTGATCCAGGATTGATGAAGACTAAGCCACGCAAGAAGTGGTCCCAGCTGTGTCTGGGTACCAGGGAATGCTCGTTACCTCTTCAGGTCGTCAGTAATGGGAGGATACGCTGACAAGTTGTCTTAGCCGCAACTATAGGGCCAGATTCGATAAAGAATTGGAACGTGAGGATTGTTATATGTATAACGCACCAAGTACAAGAAGGCTAGTAGGCGGGGCCGGGGAGCTAGACCTCGCCTGCATGTATAATAACTATTAGGTAAGCCCCCAGTCTTCCTCGTCCCAAGTGAGAGTATTCACTCGACTAGTTTAACACTGTCTTGTGCACATTATGTTAAGTGTTTGATAGTCTAGCACTATATTGTTACTTCACCCTCTTCCCGTCTACAGCTTACGTCGTCACCCGTCACAAGTCACCCGTCACCCAGCAAGTGTCGACCAAGGCTACAAGTCACCCAAGAGTCACCAGCAATGTCACCAAGGAAGTCGATGCTCCTCAGTTCTTCACTGGCCAGCGTCCTTGTAGGTAACTTCCTCTGTCCGTATCATCCATGTCCGTACCCCTTTGGTCCTGCCTTTATCACCCCCTTCCCTTTGCCCCCCCCTCCCTCCCTCCCTTTACCCGTACACATAAAAACTCTGGAATTGGGCTGGGGAAGGGGTGAAGTTTGTGCCCAATCGTTCCAGTAGTAAGATTGAGTTATTTTCTAAATTACCTACAAAATTACCCCCAGTTCCCCTAGCAGTAAATAGGTACCTGGGAGTTATACAGCTGCCACGGGCTGCTTCCTGGTGGTGTGTAACAAGGCCTGGTCGAGGACCGGGCCGCGGGACGCTAAACCCCGAAATCATCTCGAGATAACGTGAGCTGAAGAGATGCTGGAATAAGATGCTTGAACAGCCCTCAAGAAAGTCGTAGCTGATTGTGCCGTGTACCAGCCTGTATCCCTCGTCACTATATTTCTTATCTTTTAATGCTGTCTGTCCCGTTACCTTGAAGTTTTTCCGGGGCTCAGCGTCCCCGCGGCCCGGTCCTCGACCAGGCCTCCTCGTTATTGCCTCTCCCAATAATTATTTCTGGTTCATGTAAGGTGTCCGCCCCCCCCTCCCCCCCTCCCCGTGTTGAGGGCCGGTGGACACGCAATTTAAATTCTCTGAAAAAGTTTGTATTAATAAGTGCTGTGAGATGTAGATCAGGAGCCGGCGTGTTTTGAAATAAGTTTATTGAGGTAAAATACACACAAAGGGATGAGGTAGCTCAAGCTATTCTCACCCCGTTCAGTACATCGTGTTAATACATACATAGACACATCACAAACAATAAACATATTACCAAACATTCTGAGAGATAAACATCTACATTTCCTCCTTTACACAAGTAGTATGGCGTGTTAAAACCTTTTTATTAAGAGTGTAAAGCATGGCTGAGTAGCAGTGTCGGGGTTTGACTCGGCTACTGGGAATGAAGTGTAAGTTTTTCATAAGTAAACAGCGAGGGGGTTTGGCGGGTGGATGGAATCACTTTTGGGTCTTTGTTTGGAGGACGGGCTGCACAATAGTTGTTCAACATGTGGGTCTTGACAGTACTATAATTACAAGCTTTGCTATCAGAGTCGCCCTAATGCCCTTGGGCCAGATTCATGAAGCAGTTACGCAAGCACTTACAAACCTGTCCATCTTTCATCAATCTTTGACGGCTTTGGATACATTTATTAAACAGTTTACAAGCATGAAAACTTCCCATTTAACTGTTATAAACAGCCTCCTGGTGCTTCGGAGTTCATTAACTGTTTAATAACTGTAAACAAAGCCGCTAATGATTGAGAAAAGATGTACAGATTCGTAAGTGCTTGCGTAACTGCTTCGTGAATCTGGCCCCATGTCTTACAAGGAGGTGCGTGGAAGCAGGCAACATGGTGGGTACCAACCTTGGTACCTGGGTTACCTTCAGTGACGAGACCGCAATCAATCTAACAGTCTCCCTTCAGTTTTGGTCACCTTGAGGTGCTTCCGGGGCTTAGCGTCCCCGCGGCCCGGTCGTCGACCAGGCCTCCTGGTTGCTGGACTGGTCAACCAGCAGTTGTCAACTCCTGGTTGTCAACCTGCTCCCCAAGCTCGCCAACCGACACCAACTCTACATCCCGTGTAAATTTGGATGTTTAATCTATGTATACCTCGTATACATAGATTACTTGTATTGCTATTGTGGAAATACCGGTTTTCATACATGTAGTGTTTTGAGAATGCATTGGAGTCATCTGACTTACATTCACAGTAACCAATGGATATATTAATAGCCAATATCCCTCCGTAATGTCTCTGAACTCGTCTAGATTTGAAACTATTGAAGTGACAGCACACTGACCTTTGACCTGTAACTGGCCGGGAGCACGTTGTTGTTGTTGTTGTTTGATTTAGCTACTCAGAACGAAGTGTCCATGTAGCACGGGCTATGGTGAGCCCGTAAACCGGGAGCACGATACATCTTGACCTATAATTGGGTATCACCTGCCCATGGTACGGGCACCATTCCTTGCCCACCGTCCCATCCCAAATCCTTATCCTGACGCCTTCCCAGTGCTATATAGTCGTGATGGTTTGGCGCTTTACCCCTGATAGTTCCCTTCCCTTCCCATGGTATTTGGACTTGACAGTATGAGAATCCTTGAACACCAGGTATATCCCGGCACAGCTTGACGTGATCGACTCCTGATAACTTGAGGCAAAGTGAAATTCACACCAGTTACTCCATATATCATCATTCTATTATGCAGGAAGAACCGCACGTCTATGGGTCATCCAATAAGGTTAGCAGACTTCTAGATGTTACCACTGCTAGGCTTAGGCTCGGCTAAAAGTACCTCTGGCAGTTTGTAACATCTGCTGATGTAGATCTGACTAAATGTAAACTCTGTCAGCAGAACTATTCGCATACTTTGCGTCATTATATAATGGAATGTGAAAAAATCGCGGAATTTAGAGATAACACCATCAATGGTGTCCAAGAAATGTGTAAGTACTTCATTCATAATGATGTACTGCCGGGAATCTTAGCGAAGTATCCATAGTTTGCTGACTGTAGGTGCAGCTACCGCCCAGTTGGGTGGGTGTGGAGCACATGACTGTAAAGCTGCCGCCCAGTTGGGTGGGTGTGGAGCACATGACTGTAAAGCTGCCGCCCAGTTGGGTGGGTGTGGAGCACATGACTGTAAAGCTGCCGCCCAGTTGGGTGGGTGTGGAGCAAGACTAGTAACTGTGTGACTCACCATAGATGTAAAGTGCCTTGTATAGTGACTGTTGTGAGCCTCTTGTGGAATCACTTGATATAAAAAGATTACCGATGTGTGTGTATACATGTACATGTAACTAACAGTTGTGTAACTAGCGTGAAAAGATTGTCATTTTCTTAGCTAAACGAACTCTGGGGTTCAGTTCCTGAACCCATTATGTGCCTCTGTAACCCTTTACACCACCGCCCACGGCATGGGTATGGGGTGCATAATAAATGGAATATGGGCCAGGCAAGACTCCCGTCTCCCCCCCCCCCCTCGCCCCCCCCCCCCATGGGCACACGCCTGCTCGCCCACCTGGTGGCTGAGTGGACAGCACGCTGGACACGTACCCCTGTGGACCGGGGTTCGATTTCCGGCGCCGTCGAGAAACAAAAATGGGCAGTTTCTTTCACCCTGATGCCTCCGTTCACCTAACGGTAAATACAGTTGTTACGGGCTGCTTCGTGTGTGTGTGTGGGGGGGGGGGGGGGGAATGAAAAACTGCAAATGCAGTTTAATGCTGATAAATGTAACGTTCTGACGCTAGGTAATGATGATAGTTACAAGATACGCAAGCACAACTTGGTGAATACACATACACGCGCGCACACGTACACACGTGAACACGAGTGCTAGCAGGCAGAGCATTTTGGGCCTCCCACCGCCACAGTCCAGGCAGTCTCTTGCCGACTCTTGTAGGGGGGGGGGAGGTGGCCTTGGACACTGTGGGGCCAACACTGCAACACTGTGGGGGGGGGGGAACACTGAGTGTGTGTGATCTTTTGTTTAGATGGTGAGGTTGGCATAGTGTAGCGGACACCCGCTAGGTGTAGCAATACTGATGGGGTGTACTTGGCATTCCTTCACACCCTTGTGGTGTGTGAGGGGATACGCTGCTAACACTGCCTTAATGATCGCCAAACATAACTTTTCGTGGTAGCGGCTGAGGGAAGTAGGTTTTAAGCCAAGCCTGGCCTCGGGCCGGGCTTGGGGAGTAGAACTACTCCCAGAACCCCATCAACCAGGTATCAACCACCCAGACGGCAATTGCCCTTCTGTTCTCCAAAGGATATGGTCTAATGTAGACGGGATCTTCCATCCACCAGACCTTCCAAGACAAAATTCTTGCCAAAATTGTTCTAATAGATTAAGGCTAAATAATTGTGGTTAAGCGTGTTGGAAGTAGGTGAGGGTTGTGTGTGATGGATGCTGGGAGTGGTTTAGGGCAGCCCGCGTGACGACTCTAGACGTCTGACGGCCGAGTGCACAGCACTCGGGATTCGTAGTTCTAAGGTTCGATCCCCGGCGGAAGCGGAAACAAATGCGCCTAGTTTCTTTGCCCCTGATTGGGGCATCAGGGTGTTCACCTAGCAGTAAATAGGTACCTGGGAGTTAGACAGCTGCTACGGGTTGCTTCATGGGGGATGTGTAACAAAAAGGAGGCCTGGTCGAGGACCGGGCCGCGGGGACGCTAAGCCCCGACATCATCTCAAAGATAACCTCAAGATGTAAGTGACAGCTCCAGAGATAACCGTGAAGCTGCTATCTTACCATTGTGACACAATATACCAATAGCCCACGATGACAAGTTACAGTATCAGTGTGTGTGTGTCAGGTCAACTTACACCATCTCCAGAAGATTGCTTCCTTTAGCTAGGTTTCTTCAGCATGTAGACGCTGTATAATCCCCGCTTGTGGCCCGGGAATATAAACATGGATGCCTTTTGAGATTTTCCCAATTGCAGTTCAAAAGAGGCCCCAAGGGTGGTGATATTGGCGAATGTACACCATCTAGTATACTCGGGCGCAGGTTCGAATCCTTGTCACGGCCCTTGTGGATTTGTACACCACCTACTTTCTCCAATACCGACACTACCTCCTGTACTCCCCCCCCCCACCACCACTAAGGGAGTACATAGTGTCACTCAAGCGCTGGAGGCCGGCGTTTGTCATTGTTCTCGACACCCCGAGGTAATCAACGGTGTAGTAAACCAATCCCCGCCACTGTCAAGTAGGGTGGACGAGTTTTACAGTCCCGCTCCTGTGCCAGGTAAGTCCACTACGGGCTCACCATAGCCCGTGCTACTTTGGAACTTTTGTTCCCAGTAGCTGAATCTAAAACAAATGTTAAGTACCTCACCATTACGGTGTTCTATCTCCCCCCCCCAACCCCCTCACCAGAGGACCCATTTCTCCCCCGCCATCAACTCCAAGAGTGTGGGTTGAGTGCGCCAGAGTTAGATAATCTGC